CGACGTAACACCAGTATTTCCATCTGGAAAACGCTGTTTTGCTGCTGGAGTCATCCTCACTCTCCATCTCTCTGTGTGTGCTGTACGTTAACACCCGCCAGCGGAAATACCCACCTTCCAGACAGATGAAATCTCACTATTCATCAGCCATTCTCATCCTCCCCTCTCTCATGACAAGGCGCGCACCTCTGGATGACCTAAAAAATAATCTTTAATATCTCTTAAACAAAAGTAGCACAAACAATATTTTTTTCTGCACAAATCTGCACTAACCATTAAGTCTATTTGCAGAGTTTTTTGACGTGGGTGGGCACGAGTCCTATCATGAAAAAAGGTTCATTGTGCGACCTGAGTAACGTGCAGTAATGGGGTGTCTGCAATGGTAACTGCGTTATAGTTACAGTCAAAGTAATTAGTTAGATTACTCGTTACTAAAACATGGTAACGGCGTTAGTAACGCCGTTAATTTCAACGCCGTTAGTCCCATCACTGGTTGCTGCCCTAATTTAACTTGTACAGGACCAAAATGAAATGAAGGAATAAACTATTGAGAGATTCAGTCTGTTGGTTCTATGTTGGTGTTTCTAAAATAACAATTTCCCAGAGAATTAAATCACAGATTTAATATAAACTGCCTGAAAGCTGCCTGTAGATCTTCGTATCAGTACTGCTGTGTTTGATATTCATAGGAATGCCTTGCTTAGAATGATGGAAGGCGTCATTCAGCCGATATCACATCCAGCTAATTAGTCAATCCCAGAGCCGATATCTGATCAGTGCATCTGTGTTATAAAGACTAGAATTTAATGCATTAGGTTTGTAATGGAGAATATGGGTTTTAAAGGCCTTTGACCTTATTCTGGGGTTAGTAAACCAGTGGTTAAATGTTTTACCCCCCAAACATTTAATGAAGCTAATAGTGTTTAGTTTTTTCTTTCTCTGTTTACGTAATAAAAAAAAAAAAAAAAATGTTACACAAATCTTAATTCAATCAAACAAACAGTGATGCATAGCAAATGCAGAGAGCAGCAGTGCATGCATGCAATCTCAAAGCAAGGCTGCTGAACGAATCAGTGAGCGCATGCACTCATCAATGCCGATACAAGAAAACACAATATTGGCTCTTCGACAAAAAAAAATAGTTTATTGATAAAATGGCATTCCTACAAGCTATTGCAGGTTTTTAAAGAACATTTTGATTTACCATGGAATGAAAAAGAATGATTATTTATTTTTTATATAAAATCTATTGAACAAAACCCAAAATCAGTCCTTGCTCTTTATTAAACTTTTCATTTATTGTTAGTTTGAAAATAAAAACAGAAAATAATTTCTTGTTTAAAATTGCAACAGATTTTCTATTGCAGATATTTAACAAAATAATGCAACATTTGCAGCTGTGAACAACTTTTATTTTCCTGGGCTCAGATTAAAATGGCTCTTTGGATCAGAAAGGTAACAGAGCTCTTAGATTAGAGTCTAATCTAAGGCTCTGTAATCCAAAGGCGTGTCGCTAGAAGTGTCGGTGTCACGCCATGCTCTACTGTGCTGAAAAAAACATCAACATTGCTGGTTTATCGTGAGATAAGCCACACATCAAAGAGCTCAGCATAAAGCAGGACTCCTTCCCATCGCTTCTCTTCTTCCAGAAGCGTCTTTAAAGCAACCATTTTGCTGCTCTGATTTAATCAGACAGATGGGTGGTGCAGGCTGCTCTGAGTTGTCCATAAAAGGAGTGAAATGATGCTGCAGGATCCAACCGACAGAATGGGTTCCTCTGTAATAACTGTGTAAACTATTGAAGTTCAGTCCAATTTATTAAAGGAAATGACCTCCTTGAACAGTTTTCACAGTTCAAAAATTAGCTTTATTTTTGTTCAAAAAAGCTCAATGAATCAATTGTTTAGCTGAAAGTACACACACACACACACACACACACACGAGTTAATAATCGGATGAAAATGAAAAAAAGCGGAAAACTACTTGCTCCATAAATGTTTTGTGGTCATCAAAATGCTTCAGTGTTATTCTATGGGACAATTAGCACAATCTGGCCTCAAAGCTCTGGAACCGTTAAACCTAGAGGTCTGAAATTTTCTGCAGTTGTTGTTGACATGATGTGGGACACATGTAATACAATGAGACTGTTCAAAAAAAGACCTATTATTTTCAAGAAGGAAAAAAAACAACTTTGAGTCATGTTTTAACTGGATCAGTTTAGGCTCTGTTTTAGTCACACTATATTTATATTTTCAGAAACTAGAATCTAATAGCTTTCAAATGATTTATCACACATGTAATTACCGTTTCTCAGTTATTTGCTTTTATATTTGCTTTTAAGAGGTTAAAAAGAAGCAGCAGAGTTTGTGGTCAGATTTCTCTCCTGTGAGGATTTAACTGTTAAATAAACCAGCTTTTAGAAACGATCTTGTCCAACACTTTAATTGGTCCCTTTCTTCCTCTCTAGCCGCCATTGTGGGCGCCTGTTGTGCCACAAGTGCTCTATAAAGGAGATTCCAATCATCAAGTTTGACCTGAACAAGCCAGTCCGAGTGTGCGACATCTGCTTCGACGTACTGACTCTGGGCGGGGTGTCCTAATGCCACGACCGGCAACTCTTCCATCGGCCATGGCCGACTCGCCACTGCTATTCAGGAACACCAGGAGAACGAACGCCAGAAGCAGGAGATTCTAAGGACCTCCATCTTTCTACTACTCCGGCCTACGAGGAAAAGCTATTAATCTTCTAGAGGGAAACGTTTTCTGTTTGTCGGCTTCAATCAAAGCATCTTAAGGCAGATATGAGCAGCTCCACCAGCAGCAGGATGGAGTTTCTCAAGATCAGTGATGTTTTTGCTCCTGTTATTACAGGCAGAAATCTGGATCCTCCCAAAGCAGAACCACACAGCATTATGAAATGAATAATTTATATAGATTTAATGATTCATGCAGTAATCGGTCACATTCACTTGATTTTCTCATAACTGACCCAAGCAAAGAATTAAGGTTATTAAAACAAACTGAATTAAACAGAAGAGCTTTCATAGTTGTTCCAGCAAAGAACATGTTGAGTAAATGGAAATTTGAAAACCATGCCATCCAGAAATGAAAGAAAAATAGGAAAACTTCTAAATATCAATGTTTTAATAGTAACTTTGATTTTTTTTTTTTTTTTTTTTTTGAGATTGCGTTCTTTTCACGCTGTGTTCTGGTTTTGCAGATTCTTTTCACTTTAAGTCCAATTGGAAAGATGGCTACTTAACCAATGAGATTGCAGCTCCTCACTGCAGAACAAACATCCTGGAGAGAATGTGATCCGTAAAATGCAATCTGAAAAAGAGAAATTTGGAAAAATAACATTAACTTTTTTTAATAAACATTTAGAAAAAATAAAATCGTATTAGGTATACAAAGTTTTTTTTTTTTTCAAATTTCCATTTATAAAACATGTTTGCCTCCAGCTGTAAAATAATCTTTCATCCACTAAAATAATGAAGAACCTGCCAGCTAAATTCATCTCATGTTTATGCAAACAGTTTAATTTGTAGCCTTCATACATCAATTATATATTAAATCATGTTTCAAAAAGGCTCACTAATTAACATTCCTTTTTTTTTTAACCCACCATGATGTGCTCATTCCTACCTGTAACCATGGCGACCCATCCCATTTGGTGCACTTTATCAGGAGCATTTCAGATCACTGAGGGATGTGGACTAAGAGGAACAGCCGAGTGGAGCGGCCTCTTCAACTATTGTTCAATTGTACAGATAAATGTGTGATATTTTTTGACCACTACAACTGTTTTGTACTTAAATGCAGTTTGTGCTTGTCATTGTGACAAACCTAAAAAGAAAAAAAAATGATTTCGCCTCTGTTAATCTTTTATGCACATTGTTTAATCTTTTATGCACATTGTATCGTATCTGTACGCTCAGATATCTAGCCTGTCTCTTCCTGGTGTATTCTTTTAGAGAAAGGGAGGACAACTTTACATAAAGGTCATCGACAAACTGTCCAGTGTCTCATATTCTTTATAAAAGGGTTCATTGTGATTTCCTTTTCTGAAATGTTTCCTGCAGGGATAAATCGGGCCTTGTGTTTTTTCCCTTTTGACCAGACTCAGTCATCTCCCAGCATGCATGAGTCAGCGTCTGAGGCGCAGCCGTCGTATTTCTGCAGGTTGGGATCTTCTGCTGCTGCAGACGGATCTCTGATGCAAACACACTGCACACGACCGGAAACGGGGGAGAAAAGCTTTCGTGGTACACCCTTCCAGTCTCTTATTACTCCACCGCTGCATAAGAGGGAAGGGAAAAGAAAAGCACTATGAATGCTGATTGATTTTAATTTTTTCCTATAAATGTTTCATTCTGTGGAACGTCAGCCCCCAACCATTTTCATACCTCTTAGTGGAGCACCAGACTCTTCCGCCTCGGCCTGAGCTCCACTCAGAGTTGCAGGCTGGAAAGTGAACCTTCTCCGCCTCGGACTGGGCCTTCAGTCTCTGGCCTTCCGCTCGTAATGCTTCCACCTCCAGCAGGGCCTCTGTGGGCTGTCCGCTCTCATCGTAGAACCGTCCCGCCACCAACCCTGAAATGACCAACATTCTTCAGATAGGATTTCCACCTACAGATCAGCGCACACAGGATATTTCACATTTAGTCTTCACCATTTCAGTTTTACATCTACAGCACCTTCATGTATACAAAACATCTATAATCACGCCAAGAAACATCATGCATTTAATCTGGATTGTTTTAATAGTGGGATAAAACACTTTAAAGCATTGTTATTATTAAAATTATATTCAGTTTCTCTGAGTTGTACATATAAAAAAAAATGCCGACAATGCATCTTCAAACTTCGAAACAAAGTCCAGTGGATTGTTTAACTTCAAATAAAAAAAGCCCCGTTCCTCTTATCTACTCTTCAAAATAGGCAAGACAAGATGTCCAATTAATTTTCATTGGTCAGAAAATGGACTCTTGCCCAAACTTGTGTCTAAATCCCATATTATTGAACGAGAGCAAATTTTATACTGGTATTATGGTTAGATTAGGGCTGGTTAAAAATGAAGAAACATAGTTTTGCCAAACAAAACGGGGGGGACTGCTGTCTGCAACAAAATAAAATGAGAAAATAGATTATAAATATGTTTTACAGACGAAGTTCACCAGAAGATGACTCCAGCAGGTGACATATCCTGCTGTATACATGACCCTTTTTAAATAGGTTTAGACTCAGTTTAGCGTAGAAATAAATTGATCCATGTAAGAACTGGTTTTTAAATGCATAATGAAAATCTCATTACAGCAACAAATTTACAAAGTATGCTGAAAGGAACCTTCTGGCGAGAAAAAATAAAAATGTCTTGTCCTATCAGGGTTTAGGTTATCAACTTAAGTCTGACCCAGATGGTGATAATAGTAAAAATGTGTTTTAACTTAGACAACTTTTATCATCATTTTGTACACACACAGTACACAAAAATAAATTTATTTTTGTACAGCTTTCAGAAAATTTCCATTCTATAAAGTGCAGCAGTGATCAAATATAAACAGTGGGAGAAAAAAACATGGTGCAAAATTGCATTGATACGGAAGTTCAGAGCATTAAATATGCATGGTGCAAATATGCAGTAAAAACACCTGAAGATGATGAAAAATATGGAGAACCAGCAGAGTCACTCAAAAAAGGTGTTTTGTAATTGTACATTTTAAATAAAAATCTATATTTTTAAAATAGCTGTATTTTTTAAATCTACTATTAAATACTTAAATTTGAAAATTATTTTTCAAACCATAAATGATGAAATGATTCAACCTGCTTGAACTTTTCAACATTTCGCCACATTTCAGGCCTCATACAAAGATAGAAAATTGTAAATTTTTTGTAAGGAATCAACAAGTGGGACACAATCATCTAGTGGAACAAGATTTACTGGATATTTTAAACTAATAAATAAAAGCCGGGGGGGTGGAGATGCAAAATGAATAAGCTCCTTTACTTTTAGTGCAGCAAACTCTCTCCAGAAGTTCAGTGAGGATCTCGGAATGATCCAATGTTGATCTGAAAGACTGACGATGATAAATAAAATCCACCTCTGTATAAATGCACCTGCTCTGTGATTTTCTCAGAGGTCTGCTAAAGGAGCAGAGAGCATCATGAAAAACAGGGAAAACACCAGGCATGTCCCTGATACTGTGAAGAAGTTTAAAGCTGGATTTGGATATTAAAAGATTTTCCAGCATAGAAAAGTGCTTGGGCTAAGATTAAAGGAAAATAAAATACGAGACATCCCGGCTCACAGTCCAACCTGGAAGGTGGCAGTAATGCACCTATACATTGTTTTCCAACCACCTTTAAAATACACAAGAAGAGGAAATGATTTCCCAAGCTCTTAACATCCTAAGGAGCATTGTGCAATTAATAATATTGAAATAGAAGGAGTATCAGACCACTGCAGGTCTACCAAGACCCGCCCGTCCCTCTGAACTTCAGCTAAAACAAGATCGGAGATGCAGACAAGAGTTCATCAGTCTGGATGAACTGCAGAGATCTACAGCTGAGGGGGCAGACTGTCCATAGGACAAGAATCTTAAAGAAAAACATTTAATAAAGATATCCATAAAAAGTATTGTTTAAAGTTTGCCACAAGCCACCTGGGAGACACAGCAAACGTGGGAGTAGGTGCTTTGGTCAGATGAAACCAAAATAAAAATTTATTAAAAAAGGTTATGTTTGGGACAAAAGCAGCACAGTTAATCATCCAGAACACACCGTCCCCACTGTCAAACATGGTGGTGGCAGCATCATGGTTTGGGCCTGCTTTTCTTAAGCAGCTAAAGGGAAGATGGGTGGAGCTAAATACAGGAGAATACCTGTTGGAGTCTGAGACTGCGATGGAGATTTATCTTCAATGTTTTTAGAACAGCTCAGTAGCAGTTCATTAATAGCTTAATACTTTAGTTACAGTCTATTAATGTTGTTAGAACAGCCTAGTAACAGCTTAATAGCAGCTTAGTTACAGCCTATAATGTTTTAGAACAGCTTAGTAACAGTTTACTCACAGCCTAATAAAGTTTTAGAACAAGTTAGGAACAGTTTAGTAGCAGTTTATAAACAGCTTTTGAACCTTTTAGCAATTGATTTTTTTTTTTTACAAGGGTCAGG